TCTTTATTTGATTTGGCCTGCATGTGCACAGAAGAAAGTCGTGAACTACACGTAATACGGTTAACATTTTAGCCAATGGGCATAATTTGGTTGGTATTTATAAGTTGTCACTGTAAACTACTCTATCTTTTCTCTCTAACCGATACGTGTAATCCTCGGATTTAATCACGCGGTAGGCCACAGCATATTAATGACATAATTCTTGTTTTCATAGTGAGATTATTAGCAACACACACACACACACACACACACACACACACACACACACACACACACACACACACTTTACAGCAAAGTTAGATTTTTAAAAAAAGCAAATCAACAGCCGCATTCCAAAGACTACAAGGTGACATAGGCAAACACGGTTTATAGATCTATAACATTGCTCACCATTAGAATTATGTATTATCGAATCGATTTAAAACAGCAGTTAATCATAAAATCGGATACGTTTATACCAACAATATTTTTTACACTGTTCAGTTTAGGCAAGAAAAGGCATGTATACGTTTAATATACTTTTTCTTAAATTTTAAAAGGAGGTATTTGGCAGTGTAATGACGAAAATCCACTGTAAAGAAGTTAACATAAGTGTGTGTTCTTTATGTTAAGATGGACGGTTGATACAGAGAAATTTAGTTAAAATGTACTTAATTTATTGCTATTTCAAACTATTTAAGTGCTAATATATGCATCATGCAGTAAGCTTCTCTGTGATAGTGTTCTGCTTAAAATTATTGCAGGTAGATGCTAATTGGGTTTTTTTTAGTCATCATATCTTGAACGCTGGAAAAATATGGCAATATCTGTGGCTAGCAGCCTACTGTATGGTCGAATCCCACGCACTAACTGAAGTGTTTTATTCATTTAGTTGGGGTTTACCATCAGGTTCTATTAATTCATTGTTTGTATGGAAGTCGGTTGTGATTAAACATTAATTGAAATGTTGAAATGAAGCCGTTATCGCGCATGTTATCCTCTGTGGTAACTGCTCTGTACAGTTTAAATTGCATCATTCATGAATTCGGGGAACGGGGATGTGTGTGTGTGTGTGTGTGTGTGTGTGTGTGTGTGTGTGTGTGTGTGTGTCTTCAACTCTTAAGTTAAAGCTACTATCAATACGGTAATTTTTAAACCAGCGTTTACTATACCTGAACTATTTTTTAAAATGATGCAATAGTTTATTATATTCACATGGCTGACAGAGAAAACTAGAATGAAGCAAACTCGAAAAATGTTCTTTGGTTAATAAATTTGTGGAACGAATATGCAGATTCATGGTTGTGAACTATGTTCAACAGAGTTTTATCTATCAAGTTTCCTCGGCTACAATTATTGGGACATATAAACAGATCACATAAATCCAAAATTATTAAAAGTTGGTATATTTCATATCAACAATTTGAAATTTAAGAAAATATCATCAATGGATTGAAGTAAAATATTATATACATTTATAAATATATATCATGTTAACCACATAAGTCTCTTTTAGAAGCCAGCTATCGAAAATCGAATATCAGAACTTTACATAGCGCCTAATTTTTAGAAGCTCTAGGCGCTTTACATTTGACAACACTAAAAAAGAATTATAAAAAAAACATATCATGAAATGATGACAAAAATAAAAACAAACACCACAAAATTAGAAACAGAAAACATGCTGTAAATGTTTAAGGTAAGGATACCTTATAATGATACATTAAGATGTCTTTATATCTGTTCTTGCAGCTGAAATAGATGAGTTTTAAGAGCGCTCTTGAATGAGATCACCGAGTGTCTGTGTCTAAGTGCCCTGGATAATTCGTTTCACGTTGCTGGGTCCTGGTATGCAAAAGAACGTTGTCCATATGATTTCAACTTCATTGTGGGAATAATGAGAATACGAGTGTCAGAAGATGAACGTAATCATCTTGCAGACGTGTACACGTGGGTGAGGTCAGATAGGCATATTGGACTGGAGCCAGTCAGTGAAACGTAGCACAGGCAACAAATTTTGCATTTAATTCTGGATCGTATGGATAGCTAGCGTAGTGTAGGATACAGAACAGCGGGGAAGCGTGCTCTGATCGTGGTACTCTAAGGATGATTCGAGCAGTTGTGTTTTGAACTTTTTGAAGTAGATATTGAGATTAACCAGACAGAATTGAGTTACAATAGTCCATTATTGAAATTGCTAAGGAACACACAAGTGTTTTAGTGGTATCAACTAAAGATACTTGCGAATGGAGCTGATGTGTCTCAGCTCAAGATATGCAGCCTTGCATATGTTCATGACATGTTGATGCAACGAGAGAGCACTGTTAAGGGCAACACATAGATTTCGTACTGACTGCTTGAATTTAATATTGGTGTTGCTGATATTTATTGCCTGAGGTAAAGAATGTGCATGGGAAGGTCTTTTTATTGTAATCAGGATGTTTTCAGTTTATCATTATTCATCTGCAGCTTGTTACATGTCATGCATGATTTCACATCAGAAATGCACCTCTCGACGCTTCAACTTCAGCTGGATGGATATATTTGTATATGTGGGTGTCATTAACATACAATTGGTGAGACACTGGAGGATGACACTTGAGAGTGGCTGAATTTATAGAATGAAGAGAACAGGTGCAAGAACATACCCCCGTGGAACACCACAGCACAGATCAACTGGGCTGGAGTTTTTTCCATTTATGGGCACAATTTTTGTCCTGGGTGACCAAGTAAGACTTGAACCATAGTAAGGCCGTATCGTGAATGCCAAATACATGCTGGAGACGGTGAAGTAACATATCATGGTCTATTGTGTCAGATGCTGAGGACAAGTCAATGAGAGTGAGGACTGTAACCTTTTCGTCATCCAAAGCAGAGAGAAGGTCATTGACTACTTTCAGAAGAGCAGTTTCAGTACTGTGGGCTATATGCAGACTGTATATTGCTAAAACAGACTGTTGAATTCAGATGAAATACAAAATGGGATAGAACAACGTTTTCTAAGGTTTTTTTACATGAATTGGAGAATAAAAACTGGGCGGTAGTTCTTTAAATCATTATGGTCGAGTGTTGGTTTCTTCAGCAGAGGCTTTACAATGGCAGTTTTGTAAAATAATGGAAATTCCCCAGATGAGAGACGTATTAATAACATCAGTTAGTGAAGGCAATATTGGAACCAAATACTCTAGCAGCAGTGACGTCGGAATCGGATCCAGTTCACGACTGTACATACTAAATCCATAGAGACAGGTTCAAATACTGATAACTGTTGCCGCTGAAATTTTGTATCACAACTGTATGGTGACGACGAGTCAATTGAAATTGTGTTGTCAAGTTTATCTCTGATGGTTTGTACTTTGTCACGGAAGAAATTTGCAAACAGGTCCGGAAGCCCGACTAGAGAGAAGGTAGCTGGAAGTGCTGTACATTTGTTCCTTGACAGTAGCTTGTTAGTAATCTCAAATAGCTCTTTGCAGCTGGAACTTTCCGTGATCTTGTAGTGTAGTGAAACCGATTTCGCTGCATGGGCTGTTTTGTAACATTCTTCATAGCAGCGTCATAAATCTGCTTATGAATAGCGAGTCTAATGGAAAGTCAAAGCCTCTCAGCTTTACGGTGGTCTCTTTTAGCAGTGAGAAGCTGGTCTCTAACACTGCTATACCACGAAGAACAGTTTTGAATTGCTACTCGGCACATGGTTGTTGGGGCATGTTTGCCAAGCAATGAACGCAGGCAGTTATCCTGTTCTGCCATAGTAGGTAAACTAGTTGTTAGGTTTGCTTCGATATCTTGCATTAGTTTGATTCTGTTTAGCATAAGTTTCTCTTAGTAGTGGATAAGGTGGAGAGTTAGGAACTGATACATCAATATATATCTATCTATTTATCTTTATATATATATATATATATATATATATATATATATATATATATATATATATATATATATATATATATATATATATATATATGTGTGTGTGTGTGTGTGTGTGTGTGTGTGAAGAAAAAACACCGATGTGATATATACTATCATAAAATAAATTTCCTTGCTTTTTAAGTGGGTTCGTTTATTCTTTTTTTATGTAAAATTTAATATCTACATTCATATTATAACAACAAATTTAATATATTTATCACTGCAAGTAACAGTTCGTTTCACAGTTAATTCAGTTTACCATATTATTTAATGCAGCAACCTAGAAATATTGTATGAAAGAACTAGGGCAGTGAAAGCAAGTACACAGCAGAAGAACCAATGATAAGACCTCAGTATGGTCTGGATGTAAATTCGACAATGAAAAGAAGATAGATGAGAGTTTTTCTAACATGCGTAAAATTGTTGTTAAATATAATCTAAAATTTGCGCATTCTGATTAACATTAAACTTAAATATGAAAAAATTAACAGCCATTTCTACAGAGCTCGATAATAAGACTTGAAGATCTTTAAATCTTTTAGGATTTCTGGCTAAAATAGAACTTTTAGAAGTAAAATGTTTATACACTGAATTAAAAGAAAGATATGATGTGTAAAACTATCTTTACTTTGAAATGAGAGCAAATTATTGCATATTTAGTTCTTTGAAAATCTTTATTTCTATTGCTTGCGAATGAAATCCCGATGAACATGTTATAGCCATCGATTGACAAGGTGCTTAACCTATTTGTCTCTTTGTCTCATTAAGAAAACAAAAATTTTAATATAGGACGGCAACTTACAGTAACTCGAGTATGAAGAGTCTGTGAGTGTGTGTGTGTGTGTGTGTGTGTGTGTGTGTGTGTGTGTGTGTGTGTGTGTGATTTAGACTTTTAACGTAACTTTAACAATTTTTCATTCATATCGGTACAGTGTCTGCAGTGTGACAGTTTATAGTGATGTCTAGGGAATCATGCCGCAGACATGTAGCTTGATATCCCACCCATTCACATTATCCTGACATCAGGCCAACCAGTCCTAACACTAACCTCTTAATGCTGAGCGTCAAACGCGGCAGCTGTTAGTACCTTTTTTAAGTCTTTGGTATGACTCAGCCGGGATTAGAACCAACGACCTTCCGCATCTGAGGCTGACGATCTAACCACTAGGCCACCGGAGCGGTTACGAGTAAGAAAAATATGTTTGGTAGAAAACAATAAAATGCAAAAGATTAAAGGTACAGATAACATAACTCTTGTGTGTATATTGTTATGTATATTTAATTATTTGTTTGTCAGTTTTCATTTTTTGGTTCCATTACATGCTGTTGTAATATAACGACGTTTACTGGATTTGACATTGTCCAGTTATTGAGTTAGTTTTGTTTGACCTGGGTTTTTTTATTTTGTTGATAAACAACTAATAATACAAACACTGTATCTAGTTCCCGACCTTGATTCAGAACCAGTGACAGGTTTGGTAAACAACTTTTTAAAATTTTTAAAAATGCTTTCTCAGCGTGAGAATCATTAACAAGTTGTCATTCAGTTGTGACCAGTTTGAGTTTAATTTCTTTTTATTTTACGGAATTTAAGTGATTATTTTCCCTGGAAATACATAAGTGTTCCTACAAAGTTCTTGGACAAAGACATTCGCTGAAACTTATACGGAATTCAAAACTATAATAATATTTTTGTGATTTAATAAAGGATTGTTAACACAAAAACACTTCGCAGACTACAACAGACGTCATCATCTTCCATTTTGATTTTCATAGGAAAACTATGAACTAAATTTTTTCAGGACTTTTTAATGCTATGAGTTCTATATTTTAATTCTTGGATTATATTTGAATTTGATTCAAAAAACCGTAAGTTCATTTATCTTATTTTTCACTTGGTATTCCAGGGAAATAAATTATTTGTTTAAGTTTACAAAGTTTGTTATCTTCACTCTTTTCTGTTGTTTTTTTTTTTGTAAGAGCCTAGACTGGTAGTATGGAAATATCTTTCTTGTCTTCTGTATTATGAAATAAAACATGTTACTGGTTAAACAAAAGCGAATACAATTTCACATAATGAATATAAATATTCATTTAAAACTTGTGAAAACAATTATAACCGACAGATGAATATTACTTGCCATTGACGCATTAATTATATTATATGTACATCAAGCTTTACATGTTTGCATACCATTTTGTACAAACCAATATTGACAGCATTGCATATTATGGTAAATCTATGTGCATATTCAAGCTCTCTAAAAAGTGTTCCAATAATGCTCACATGATGTTAGTGGTTGTCTGTTGTGTTTAGCGTATGACCAGCAAAAACTGGTTACAGATAGACTATCCAGTTCTATGAAAACTTACTAACACATTTATTTCAAACATTCTCATACAAGGAAGACATTAGCAGTTGCAGCAGTACCTCAAAGAAAATTGATTCAGTGTATATATAAATTCAGTCATTTACTCCTTCAAGAAACCCACTATATAACATTTATATTTCCTAACTAATGTACTAACACTTTCCAATATACATGAATCTAGATATTCCAACTTATCAAAGAAGTTCTGTCTTTTAATAGATTTAGCCTTCAAAGAATGTGTGTATTATCACATACAATCAGTCATGTCTGTTTGGTTTAAACTCTGAACTTCGGATATTTGAAGATAAAGACTTGTCTAGCACTCCCTGAAATCCACAGCTGGTTCAGGGCGTCCACGACCAAAGAGTTGGCTTTCAAAGAATAATGGGGAGATGTGAGCTTGGTAAGTTCGTTGCCTTTGGAATCAATCACTGTAATTCCATTATTATGTGATAGTAAAAAGTGTCCCTTGTAGTCAGACGTTATACAGGTAATGATGGATGTAAAGGAAGCTTCTCTAATTTTCTTACCCTTGTGATCAAACAAATTTACGAGCCAGCTAGTAGGGCCTGAATACAAACTGTACTCCGCCTCAACAGTGCATATAATATTTGTATATTTGCATGATGCAATGCAATAAAAAGATTTGTATTTTGGTTGTACACCTGTGACAATTGTACCATACTGATCAATCAATAACAGTGTTTTATTTGATGCTCCACAACAAACAGCTATGCCACCATCTGGACGTGCAGCAAGTGGACCAGGGGTATCAGGCAATGTACAAAAAGTAGTGATATTGAAGTCTGGACCAATTTTGTATACCGTATTGTTCTTTGGAGCACTCGCAAACAGATTGCAGTCTCTGTCAAAATCAACCGCACTGATAGTCAAATCTTCCAGGATATGACGTTTCTTTATTCCGCGTTCACTGTATAGAGTTAGTCCATTTATATCCTTTTCTACCATCCATACCTGGTTTTCTTTGCTGGACGCCATATATACTACTTCACGATTATCAGGTAAAATAAATGTGTTAGATAGCTCCAGTTGTTTCGTGTAAGGACCAGGTGCTGTAAACTCTAGACTCCCAATGCTTTTCGTGCTCAATGCCTGCCCTTTGGTAAAGGTAATGAAACGCACTGACGGATTGTATAAAGACAAAGATGCATTTGCCTCCATCACCTCCAGCCGCATTCTGTCACAACATTTGAGTAGTTCTTCGTCACAGGCATTGGATATCCATCGTTTTACGGCCTCGTGTTTTTCTCGAGCTGAAGTTATATTAAGCATTGTTTGTTTCTTATTCAGTTTATTCAACTCACTTTCGCACATTTCTATAATCTGTTCACTCAGTTGTTTCATACCAGAGTCAATTTCTTCCTTCATCGCATTTGCTCTTTTCTGCAACAACTCCATGTTTTTCGCCTCGCTGTCTCTTATCAAAGACTCTAGATCCGGTATAGCTCTACACTTTTCCTCGATTATCTTTAAATAAACTTCGCTTTCAATCAAAGTCCTTTGAACACTCTTCTTTCTTTTGTCTATGGCAACATCTATTGTTTCGACAGTATGCATACCATGATCCTTGCAACTCGAGCAGAGAAACAATTCACATGCTGAACAGTATCGTTCTGCCACTTTTGACTCGTGTTTATAGCAGTATTTCTCGCCCTTGTCCGCATTTCTGGCATATTCGACCAGGCTTACCAATTCATGACTTTTTGTTGCCTTCAGCTTTTGATGATGAAGAACACAATTTTCACAAATGTTCAGCTCACATACCTTGCAGTAGGTCGTCGATTCTGGTTTCTGGTCGCTGTCACAATTTTCACATGGGCCTACAACAATTGATTTTTCTTTATCCGTAATTTCGGCTGTCGTCTCGATATAAAAATTGGATTGTAGAGAGCGGGCCCCTCCCTCAGGAATGTCAATCTCTTCTCTACACAAAGGACACTGAAACTTCGAATTGGGTCTGGCTCTTGAAATGTGAGACTCTAAACATGTTTCACAAAAGCTATGAAAGCAAGAAAGTATCTTTGGTTTTCTGTACTGTCCGCGGCAAATTGCGCACGTTAGGATTGCTGCCATTGCCATGGTCTTATCAAGAATTGAAAAAGAAAGTAGAGTTCGCAGTGCTCATGCGCATAGAACAGTTCTATGACACACGGTACTAATGGTATGTAAAAATGCGAACCAGTCTGGAAATGGGTGAACATAAAATAGAGTATATGGCTATAGAACACAATTAATTTTACTATATATTCTCTACATTCGTTTGTCAGTACTGAACTCTTCCCTGTGTGACAATCAATACAAATCATATATTAATCTAAAATACCATCAAAGATGACTTCACGCTTAAGTTCTTGTCAAGGGTTGACCTGCATTTTTTTGAGAGGCTGAATTGTAAACAAAACACCATGCAATGGAACACAGATTTCACTTCCGAATCATCACCAAGACCTTGTTACTCACTGTGCACTGCTGCCGCAATACACACAGACAACTACACCATAAGCTCACATTCTAAAGAATAAACAATTACCTTTAAAGCCCTACCAAAAATGCATCAATAAAACTCTTCTATCACCAACATAATGTGAGAGCAAAAAATATTATAAAAATAGACTAGAACTAAATTCGTGGGTACCGAACTGGAAGTACTAACTGTTTACTGATGCCATATAACGGTTTGGATGGTCAAGATTGGTTAATAATGTAAGTTATGTTTTAGGAAAAATAATATTTTGAGAAATTATCCTGGTTGTAAGTGAACAAAATAGAGACATTGTTCTATTGATGGAATTTCAGTCATTTAACAGTCTTAAGTTTGGAACACTGATTACTAAAATTAGCACCCGACTCTTTAGTGCAGAATTGAAAGCACATGTTTTAAACATATGCAGTTCCAGAAAATGCCATGGCTCATATCCTTTCCTCTACACAAAAGCTGATATCCAGGTTTCATCTATACTGATAAATATATGTTGATCATGAGCACTCAAGAAATTTGAAGTTAATGAATTTTTAATATCATGGTGTTTGCATAGTACTAATATTAGTACATGTACCTTAGTCCTACCTTGCACAAACAAGTTGAAGCTACGACATCGTAGCTATAACATATAGGTGTTTGCATAGGTTTACTATGGGATCTGAATTAGCACCATGATTTCTGTAGCCATAAACATTTGCAAACTAATAATAGCCTTTGGAAACAGATTATCGGTACATTACTTACAGCCTCCATAATCCATGATAATATACAGTATGTAAGTCTACTTCACCGGGGGTAGGTGTCCACTGTCAAAGAAATGGAGGGAAAAGTGAAAGACTGCTTGCAACAAATCTATCGAAACTAGATTGGAAATAGATGCGGGCGTTGAGAAGACAGAAAAAAAGATCATATAAGTATGTGTGAGCAAGAACTAGAAGTTGAAACAACTGATGAGATATTTATCATTTGATATGATAAGTATGTTTAATTTTGATAAAGCATCCCATTGCAATTATTCTGCAACTATTCATTACTTCCACCCCGCCAGGATTCTTTGGACTAGGATTACCCGTTCAGTTTGTTTTATCCTACCCATTCCGTCCTACAGGCTACCTTGGCCACCCTGATTTTGTTCTACACACAGTTGTATCCACTTGCTCATTGGCTTATGCATTCAGAACTCAGCCATTTTAGTTAAAAAAAGAAATTATGAAGCTTGCGTTTTGCAATTTAATTCCAGTTGGCGTGTAGTTTAGGATACATAGATACATGTTAAGTTATGACTGGTTTTCTTCATTTCTTAT